AAAAAGTTGGTTCACTAAAGCTAAGGTCCCCACTTTTAACCACTTTTATACCTGTTTTTAAGAGTGTGATTATGTAAGGGAAGTTATTTTTCCTGAGAAACTGAGACTTCCATGTTTGTTTCCAAAGCAGGGTGCAATCAGCGCTGCCAAAACCTTTTTTTTTCTCCTGGCTGGGCCACTCACTCACTCTCTCACTCTTTCTCCTCCTTTTTATTGTGTTTGTTGTTTTATGGAGGGGGGTTAGATGCGGTCCAGATTGCCGTTGCCAATAGAGACAGTCTCAGTTCACCTCCACTCCATTCATAAACAAATCGCTCCGGCTCAGACCTCTGAGCCTCTACCTTAGAACAACAAGCAGAACTGGATTTGTATTTTGAAGTTTCGTCGCCCTGTTAGAAACTTCTTGCTTTCTGCTTCAGCTCTGTTTCACTGCTCCCTCCCTCCTCTCCCTCGTCCTGCTCTCTTCTCAGCTTCAGCAGGGGTGGACACTGACGCTCTGCTTAGTGTGGATCTGTCAGGGGTGGAGTGTGCACAGTTTGTGTGTGCATGTTTCTGTTGGGAACTTTTTTTTTTTCTTAGAACACTCTTTCTGAGTGTGAGAGAGGAGAGAGAGAGAGAGAGACACCCGTGGTGATGTGATTTGACTAAACAAACAGCCAGGCTCACTGCAGTACCTCCTCCAACGGACTCCTGGGACAGGAGAGATTAACCTCAGAGTGAACATCAGAGGGATCTATACATTTGAAGCAGCAGCCCCTGTAGAGACATCTCACTGGAAGTCTCTCCAATTTCCTTCTGCTGGCCGGCAACCTTCTTGGTCAAAGAGGAAAGATTCTTCTGCGCTTCTGGGGTTCGTCTGAAGGTAAGAAGCATACTTCTCTGTCACCGTCAAGTATTTTAGTATAAGTTCCAGCTGCTCGACAGCTGCTGGCAGAAGTAAAAAAGGGCTGTACGAAGTGGTGAAAATTCACTTATCCTGTACGGGAAGCCCACTGTGACAGATTGAGTTCCACAGCCATCTGACACAGACGCACTTCATCCTGAACACTGGACCCAAGTTTCATATAGCTTTTTTAAACAAAAAAATCTGATTCGATTTGACAAGAGAACAACTGTATGTCTTTGTGATGTTGTTGCTGTCTCTTGGTGGTGTTCGTTACCCACATACTTGTGTGTGTGTGTATACACAACAGCCATTGCAACGCTGCGTGAAAGAGCGTAAGCAACCTGTTCAAACATCAGCATAGTGATGGCTTGCATCTCTGTACACAGCAACTGTTTGACACTTTCACATTGGACAACTTTAACATTGTTTATTTTCCCACTAACAGAATGCATTTGACAAGGTGTCCCGGGGTCTAGCGTACACACAAACACAGTAGGGTTTATAGTACAAGCTGTTTGTACGCTCTCCACTTTGTGCTTCGCTGCTAAAGGGCTTGTTTGTACAGCCCTCTTCAGTCACCCAGAGTGAACCGGGGGTCCTCAACACTAAACCATCGGTCACTTTCCTCCCTTTTCAATCTTCTCTGCATTGATTCATGGAGAAGCTCATTGAAGAGCCATGGCTGTGAACCGATATCAGACCCAGCATCTATCATTGTCAACAGCGTCCTCTTTGGAGGAATTCCCTTTAAGTGTTAACACATACAACCCTAAATTTTTAATTGTGTTACTCAGTCTCTCTTTTGTAATGTAGATATGTCGTAAAACCAGCAACCTGGTCTCATCTCAAGAATGCCGAGTCGAGCCGGCATAATTAGTTGAATCATCGCTTCCTGTTCATCAGAAGATTTTAGTAGCTGGAACGAGTTATATTGTAGCACTGTGAGCCATTTTAATGGCTGTGACACATGTGGCATACATGTCTTTTCAGTATATTCCAACACGTGTTTTGCACCTGAAAGCCTTCCCGCCTGACTGTTGTGTATGGTGACTTTGGTATTTAAGTTGTTGGGTTCATTAGCTGCACATTCATCTTCTGCATACAGGGGACCTTTTTGGCATCTGCTGTAATCAAAATGTTGTTGGCATGTGTTTTGTGGATGCTCTTCTCCTCCTCTACAGACAGGAGTGTCCTTTTGAAGTTTTTGATCTTCTCTGGCGCTGTGGATGTTTCACTCCAGGCACTGTCTGGCATTTTTGTAGATGAACCGCTGGAAGACTGCATGCATGTCATACTTTTACCATCAATGGTGCTAGACTGCATTGCATTCGTTTCATAGCTTTAAAGTCGGCTTCTACTTTCACGGCACCAACTTATAAAACACTAGATCAGCTGTGACAAATCTTTATTGTAAGATTTGCAAACAAAAGTTTAATTTTGACTCTGACAAGTGGGGATTTTCCTGTCTTGCGTCAGGCTGCTGGTATGTACTCCAGCAGAGTGCTCCTCTACGGCCCCGATGAAGTGCAGCCCAGCCGGCTCCATTCCCCCTGGCCCAGACCTAATCCGTCGACATCAGCTGTTTCCTGGCTCTCTAGGCCTTCTGTATGCCAGCAGCTTTGAGAAAATGTGCTTCACATTATGACCATGCAGAAAACATGCCAGGAGTCTGATTTAACTCACATGTGCATATGTGTAACATTTTGAGCTCAACAACAACTTTTGAAAAATACTGATCCCATTCTGTCCTGTTTTCATTTATCCTCTGTGACTTCAACTCAAAGTTGAGCAACCCTCATCTAAAAAAACTTGTTTATAGAGGAAACACTGAGTTAAAATACTTACACACTCTCACATCATGTTATCGTGACACGGATTTGTTCATTTTTCAGATTCACAGAACAAACTCTGACTCATCCCCTGGTGGACACTCATTGGCTTACTCATTATCCACCACCAATATTTTTTGAATGAGCTGTTGCTTTTCTTAACACTATCAGTCTAGAGCCTCTTTGTACGTCGCTGGTTCTTTCATGCTGTACTTAGATTTTATGCTTGAGTCACACAGCTTTAATGAAAAGCACCAAGTGGTGCTGCAGTAAAGCATCCTGTATGGCTGTCCATCTGGCCTCCCCCCTCATTGTTTCCCTCCCACTCGCACAGAGCTGTCAGGCAGCTGCATCTCATCTTAAGACAGGAAGTGAGTTTGTTCATTGAGGAAACATTCATTTGATTTATTATATATATACTCTTGTCGCACAATAGCAAACTTTTGGAAGGGGATCAGCCTAAAATTGCGAAGAAAGGTGTCATAATCATGAAAAAAAAAAACATTGCACTGTGAATACAGTGCAGAAAATTACTAGAAGACTATTAAGAGACTACTTCCTCATTAATGACTTATCTTGTTGTAAACACCCAGTCACGTTCCAGGTTTCCTCAGATCAAGATTTAGTAACATTTTAACTAAGATCTAATAACAGCTGCTGAGTTGTCGCTAAAGGGAAATAACAGCCCAACACAAATGAGCATGTTGTAGCTTTTGATGAATTTGTGAAATAAATATTTTTTATTTATTTATGTAACTAAATGCAGTTTGACATAAGGCCAGTATAGAGCATGGGACTGATGTGCTGCACACAGTTTATACCTATGGCTTATTTCCAACCCTTGTCTTTTGTTGGGCTTGTGCAAAAACAAAATTTATATCATTCATTTACATAAAACCACAATACACTTTAAATGCAAAACTACACTAAATGCACATATTACAAAAATATAGTGTAAAAAAAGATAAATAAAGCTTAAATAAGTCTAAAACCAAGAAACTGATGAGAAAGGTCCACTACATCTTTCCCTTGTTTTCAGTCTATGTGCTAAGCTAAGCTAATCAGTACCCCAAGAGTTGCATTAATGTTTTCACTGAACTCTTTGCAAAAGATGAAAAATATTTATTTCACAAAATATTGAGCTTTTATTTAAAGTATAGGACTTTGACTTATAATGTGGTCTTTTTTTATTGATTTTCCTGCCTTTACTCAAGTAAATGACTTGACAGCTGTGTCCAACCTTGTACTAGTGTTGATTATGAGTTCCTCTCTGGATTTATTGCATAAGGATTAATACAGGCTTACTTTCAACAGGAAGTTTTGGTCTCCATCAGATTCGTTTAAAGCACCAGGCTTTCTCCCTGGAGTTTGTTCTGTCCTCTTTCCAACAAAAACATGTTGGAAATGGTGATACAGTGCAGTGAGAAAGGAGGATAAAGGAAAACAGTCTTTTGAGAGATAAGAATATTTTGCACAGTTAAAAAGGAAGGAGCATTTTGTTAAGTTAATCTGCACAGTTTAGCTTCACTGAAAGCAAGACACAAAAATGTGGGAAACTGCACAGCAGTTAAAATTACAGAATTTATGCACAAATAGCATAAGTTATCCACTAAAATGAAATTCCCGTCTCCTTGGGTTGTTGTTTTTTTTTAGGTAAACAGATGGAATTTAAAGTCAGTCAGTCCTAATTGTATTCAGCTGTTTCAATTTCTTTCTTTTTGGGAGGGAGTGCAGGGACTGGAAGTGTGTGTAGGCGTACTTCATTTCTCATGAGGCAGGGGGTCTCATATCGTGCAGCAAAAAAGGAGGGTACCACAATGAACATGGGTGGAGACGTTTTTGGAGAAAAACCTTTGAAGGATGTTGTGTCGCTTATGCTAGCAAATGTATCTGCATGAGCTGCATGTATCTGTATACCCTATAAGCAATTTTATTGAGTTGACTGGCAGTGACAAAATCACATCCAGCTGATTTGAAAGAGGAAAACTGACTTCAATGACAGAGGCTGCTTAAGTTTGTAAGTCGTAATCCCTTTTTCCTTCATTTTGGTTCCTAAAAAGTCATTAAATTGATCTCAAACGCTAGCCACATCTAAGGCTGTCATTCTACATCCATGGGTTTCACACAGAAGCTCTTTACATCTCCCCCGACTGCCACTACACACAGCATTTACAACTCTGTTTAAAAGGCACTGAACCAAAATCCACAGTCTCCCAAACATGTGTTGCCTCAGCATGAGTATAGAGTTACTTTGGTTTCTGTGATAAGACCTCACAAGCACTGTGTCCAAATACCGAACAGAAGGAAACCTGTTACAGGAGTACTAGGCAGATTTTTCAGTGCTGATAATGCAAACTTGAGATGGTTTCGGTGCAGCTGTAGCTTTTTAAGTTTCAGCGTACAAGCACTTTTTGTCCGGCAGAGACTTTTCCAATAGTCTAACAGTTTTCTAATAGTGTCCTGCTGCATAATAGTGAAACCTACTTTGAGGTCAGAACAAGTGAGTCACACATCTGAAGAACCTTTTTTAGTCATGACCACAAAAACACTAAAAAATGCCCTTTATACAAGTTGGCTGGCATGAAAATACATCATGACACCAAAGGCTCTGGAGTGGAAAGACATGTGGGGTATGACGTGTGCATTATTGGCAAATGGCAACTGTTAGATCATCAGTGAGTGAGAGGTTAGAGATTAAATTTGTTTAGTTTGTTAAAGATGCTAAAATTAGATAGATGAGATCAACTGGAAGGACACTCAAAAAGTGCAGTTATATCTTTTAAGAAAGTGACCCTGATTCAGACCAACGATTAAGAGCTGCTCCCTGTGTGCTCTAAGCTTTCTGCCGAGGCTGAGGAGGGTGTGCCAATTTTCTGGGCAGTAAAACCGCTTTATTCACACGTGGACTCAGTAGGAGATTATATGGACTTTAACCTGGGGGATGATAAGGTAAAGTCTTCTCATGTCATTTTTATGCAGATGATCTGCAAATTTACATTTCAGTAAAAAGAAATGATATCAGGACATCACTGCATCAATATGCTTAATTTTTTTAATATTTCAGTGAAAGTAAAACTAAGGCTATTGTGTTCAGACCCAGTGGTGATTGTGCTGATCCTCTCTTGGACTTGGGCCATATGTAAAACC